CTATTAGTTTTAGCTTTTTCATCACTATCACTACTATCTCTATTTTTCGTACTGTTAATGTTAGTATCAGCATTATTATTAATAGAAGTATAATAATTTTATTAGTATTTGTAATAGCAGTGTCATTTAGGCCACAACTGTTACCAATACCACGCTAAATACTGCTGCTCCCTCCCAGTCTTTTCCATTCACCCCACCCAATACCAAAGGGCCCTACGGTGAAGGGCGACCTGCACTCGCGTATGCGGCCCAGGCCATCGGGTCGTGCTCCCACTAAGCTTGTGTCCCACATTGGAGACCGGCAGCCATCTGGGATGACTCAGCAACCATTTCTACGGAGAGTTTTGCTTACCCCTGCGAGGAAGAGCAGGCTAGAAAATGTGCCCCAAACAAATGCTGGAGTTCAGGTCTTTTGCAAGTGGGCTATAACTCGCAGAATACTATTGGTATGGCCGCAAAACAAACATAAACAGAAATAACCCTCTCCCACCCCGCAATACAGGCCGGGTTGCTAGAGTGAGTCCTTCCACATTAGCAGCCTCGAATGTGCATTCTATCTTAGACAATCGGCGCGGTAGCCAACTGGAAGGGAGGACAACACTAATAGCTCAGGAACTGGCGCGTTTGACGATAAACATCGCCTTTCACAGCGAAATCCACTTCTCCGACCACGGGCAACTGGAGGAGATGAGTTCCGGTTACACCTTCTTCTGCAATGGCCGCCCAGAGGCAGAACGACGAAAGGCCAACCTCACAGTTGCCATTTGGATCGACATTGAGGGACGTCGGTTCTGTTGACCGTTTGACACCGAAAATCATCTGATGGGCTTCTGCTTGCCTCTTTGGGATGAAAAAGTTGCCGTCATCGTCAAAGCCTGCGCACCCCTCCCCCGATGACCGGTTCCAAGGAGACAAAGAACAAGTTCAAAGAGGATCTGCTTGCCATCCCGGCGTATGTACCGAAGGCGGACAAGTTAATTGGCCTCGGTGACTTCAATGCTCACGTCGGAACAGACCATATTGCCTGAAGGTGTGTGTTAGGTGTTCACGGTCTTTGTAGCTCCAGTGACAACGGTCTACTCCTTCTAAGAACCTGCGCAGAGCATCGCCTAACCCGAAGAGTGCATACTTTTGCCTTTTGCTTCGACAGATAGCAACCTGGATGCATCCCCGGTCTTGGTAATGGCATCGCCTGGACTATGTCCTCGGCCGGCGTCATGACCAGCTGGACGTGCTGATGAAAAGGTAAAACCGATGCCGACGGATGGACCGATCATTGCATTGTCATTTTCGAGATACGAACGCCATGCTGGCTTTACGTCAGGAGTCCTTGTTCCCGGTGGTTGTTAATACGGTTTAGGAGAAAACGAGTGAAGATTTTGCCAGCGATATTTGGCAGCAAAATTCCGCGATGCTTCTCGCATAGTTGGTGGTTCCCCTATTGCTTGTATACGAGGATCACTGTGGCGGCCTTCAAGCCCTGGAGACTCTTTCTGGGCGCCAGATCTCTGGGAAGCGCATGATGAGGTGGGTCATAAGTTGGTGGCCAGCGTATTTGTAAATCTTAGGAGTGGTTGTGTCTGATCCGGGTGGATTCCCGCTCCAGAGTTGCTCTACGGCCCTGATGGCTTCCCGAGGAGGGAGTGGGAGGTCGAGGTCAGCGTTTATTTCCATCTGAATGCAAAACCAAAGTCGCCACAGACTGTCTGCATCAAGTGGAGATAAACGCTGACCAACCCACTCCTCAGGAAATTGTCAGGGCAATGCAGCATCTCTCCACCGGGAAGGCACTCGGACCAGACTTGATCCTTGCTAAGCTTTACATATACCGCGGCGGCCAACTCCTTAATCACCTCACCACACTCCGCACGAAGATATGGTGTCAAGGGCAAGTTCCCCAGGCCTTCAAGGACCACACAATCTTCCATCTCTGTAAGCGTTAAGCGAACCATAAACTCTGCAATAATCGCCGAGAAATCTCGTTGCTCAACTTCGGCAGCAAAATCTGAGTAAGTGCTCCCCTAAACCACGCAAATAGCGACCTGAAACAAAGGCTCCTGCCGGTCCTCCCTCGTCGATTTTGCTGTCCTCCCTCTTATTTGGTAAAAACACTCGTCATTACGGCATCTGACTCGAGTTGTCTCAGCAGATAACTGCAGGGTTTCTTCCGCAAATACAAGCACTGTGGCGTCGCTGGATGTATCCAAGGCTTTTTGCAGCTGCTACAGTTAGAGGTGAGATGGCAAGCAAGTAAGAACGCAAACGTAGTCAGACCCATGAGCGTTACCAGTCTTTGCTCCGCGTAGTGACCCACTATCACGAACCCAGCTGTGGACTCACTCTAACTGGTCATATGGCCGCCTTTCGAGTACCAGTTTAGAAACGGTTCTGGAAGCTATGTTAATCATGGCCTTCGACTGTCATCCTAACTGAAGCTGCACAAAGTCACTGTCCTCCCACCAATCTTGTACGGAGCGGAGACCTGAACCGTCTACGCCAAACAAGCTCGGAAGGTGAAACGTTTCCATCTCAACTGCCTCCACCGAAGTTGCGATGTCAGGACAGGATCTTGGACAAGGAAGTCCTTGAAAGAATGTGGCACTCAAACATCTACGGCAGGCTGAGGCAACTTCAATTGCGATGGAGCGGCCACAACGTACCAATCTACGACCAGCGGCTATCCAAGCGACAGTTCTATGGTTATATTGATATGTCTGCTCGCCGAAAAGGAGGACAAAAGACAGGCTAGGCGGACACCTGAAGGGTCTTCAAACTAGCACGACGACCTGAAAGGAACTTGCACAGAACCAATCGGCTTAGAGACGAATAGTGAAAACTGGCGCAGCTATCTACGAAGCCAGTTGAATCATCAAAAGCGGACCAATACCGCTAATGCCCTAGCCCTACTCACCAGCCCGTGTTGTTAACGCTTCCTCCGCACACGCGTCGGTTTTGTTGGCCATCTTAGGATGCAATAATCTTTTCTCCGAAGATATCCGATTCTACGGGTCCAACATTCAAACAGTCCTGTTCTCAGCACATTTGTCACAAAGCTGATCTCCACGGACACCACAGCCAAAACTCTGTCCACCCCAACCGATGCACCACCTTTTGCCACCAACTCCATCACCACAACTGACTTCTCCAACAACTCTTGATATTGAGCCCAATTTGCCCTAATTGCGCTTACGCATTCACCTCATACACCGGCCTGGTCGGTCATTTACGAATCCTTCGCATAGCAACAAGTGAATTGGTAGAGGCCACCGCCTCCAATGCCCTCACCCATTCACTCAACGCATGTACCTACTCGGCCAGGTGCGCATACATTCCAGTGGCATTCTTCGCCAGGTAAATACACTCGTTTGAAATGCTCTGCTGAACCAATGCATTGCATTTCTGTTCTGTACGAATAGGGATGGCAAAGATATTTATTTACTCCTTTCTTTATCCCTGGAAGAGGAAGATGAAGAAGAGACGATTTATTCTTCTTCTTCCTCTTCCGGGTATCAGTCAGTATCAGTCAGTATATTTGGAGTAAATGACCGAAGCCCTTA